TTGCCGGGAGTCAGCTGTGATTCTCCTCCAAATCCCCAGTCCAAGGAGCTCTGGGAATTCCGGATTCAGTGGGGGCCTGTGACGTCTGCGTACCGAGATTTACCGAGATACGCGCCAACCGAGTTCCGGCGAGAGGTGCTCTGCCTCTTCCTGCGTGTGGCCTCCGGCGCCATCTTGGGGACCGCCATCTTGCTGACCAGGCCCAGCCCAGCCACCTCGACTTCCACAGCACCTGCTGCCATTCCTCTGCCTCGCGCTGCCCGCATCCTGCCGCCTGGAGCCAGCCTCACTCGGCCCCGGACCCCCCCCCGGCGATACTCCGACCCTGGACCTCCGCACCGGACTAGGGGACAGTCTGGAATGCAGTCTGGAACAGCAGGCCGATGTCCACTCCTGGTCTGCACCTCCTGCACCGGCCCCTCCTAAGCAGCCTGCTCGCCCTGGGCACTGTGGAGCAGCGAGTTGAAGGATTCAGCCCCATGGGTCCTCTGGAAGGCCTGCAATAGGGTAAGCAGGGCCTCCCTAGACACAGCAGGGGTGTAGGCCATCCTGTACTCTCAGCAGAGGGTAAAAGTAATTTCTGTCTTTTTTTTTGGTAAAACAGCACTTCCAGGTTCCCTCAGGGAGGGACACTCAATGTAATAAAGTAATTGTTACAGGGACTACCAGAGGAAAGACACTGCCAGGCTCCCTCAGCATTGTTCACCAGTAGTCTGGTAATCTTTCCCAGAATTCCATGCTTTCAACTTTAAAACCGACTGTATCCTTTTGGTTGCTATGCCAACCCCTCAGGGCAGCAGTCATGCTCCCCCCCTCCCTATTCACTCCGGGGGTTGGCCTTTCTGCTCCTTGCTGACCCTTCCTGCTCATATCTATTCATTTATTCTCCTTCTCCTACTTTACCTTTGCGCTCCTTCTGCCCCTTCCAGCTCCTTGCTGGCCCTTTCTGCTCCTTCTCCTACTTTACCTTTGTGCTCCTTCTGATTCTTTCTGCTCCTTTACCTTTGTGCTCTTTTTGTCCAGCCCCACTGGACTCCAAAGCAGTCACTGTAAGCACAAAGTGAGACAAAGACAACAGTAGCTACAACAGAGCTGGATATAATGTTTGTGTGGGTATCTGTGTGTGTGCTAGTCTTTATATATCTTTCACAGTGTGTGTGGCAGTATATGTCTGTGTTTTTATCTGGCAGTGTGTATATTTGTGTTGCAGTGTGTATCTGTTTGTGTATATGCGGGACAGCGTGTCTCTGTGTGCCGCAGTGTGTATCTGTTTGTGTATAGTGTCTCTGTGTGCCGCAGTGTGTATCTGCTTGTGTATAGTGTCTCTGTGTGCTGCAGTGTGTATCTGTTTGTGTATATGCGTGACAATGTGTCTCTGTGTGCTGCAGTGTGTATCTATTTGTGTATATGCGTGACAGTGTGTCTCTGTGTGCTGCAGTGTGTATCTATTTGTGTATATGCGTGACAGTGTGTCTCTGTGTGCCGCAGTGTGTATCTGTTTGTGTATAGTGTCTGTGTGCTGCAGTGTGTATCTGTTTGTGTGTGTTTGGCAGTGTGTAACTGCATGTCTAAGTGTGTACCTGTGAATGTGAGAATACTTGAGAGTGGTAATGCGTGTTTGTGAGTGTCTGTATCTGTGTGTATGGCTGTGTGCGTGCACATTTATGTCTGCTAGGGTGCTTTGGGGAAGACCAGGCCAGTGGTTTTGTAAGAGGCCCCAAGTCTTGATGCCAGTGCTGGTCATTATTACAGTATTATGTGTTGTAATTGTAGTAGTGTCATTATTTCAATAGTTATCATTGTTTGAGGACACATATATATTTATGTTGTTTCCTTTAATTTATTGTCAACTCCCCTTCATATGGAAAAATGGGTGAACCGCATTGGGTTGGCCTGAAGGAAACAAAGATTGAGAAGCAACTGAGTCAAATATGTCACTCATTCCTATACCATCTGGTTTATAATATTGTTATTAATATTTATTGTAAAAAGAAAGCACAGATTTAGCAGCAGATATGTAACTAATCTACTGTGGCCTGGTTTATGATTTTATCAGGGTTCAAAAATTCCACTCGCTACTAGCCATTGGCAAGTGACAATTCAGCCTTGGTGAGTAGAAAGTGTGCCATGGATCATCCAGGCTTGCAGTGGCAAGTAACTTTTGAGTTTTGGCTAATAGAGTAAAACTTGAACAGTTAAGCACTGTATTATTACACAGTAGAAACTTAAAGGAGCACTATAGTGCCAGTAAAACTAGTCATTAGGTGCCCCCCTTCAGCCACTTACCTTTCTCCAGTGCTGGGCTCCCTCGTCAGCTCCAAATGCTCACACGCGGCATTCAAACCGCCCATATGAAAGCATTACTCAATGCTGTCCTATGGACGTCCAGAGTCTTCTCATTGTGATTTTCACAGTGAGAAGCGCCTCTAGTAGCAGTCAGTGAGATAGCCAGTAGAGGCTGGATTAACCCTAATGTAAACATAGCAGTTTCCCTGAAACTGCTATGTTTTCAGCTGCAGGGTTAACCCTAGAGGGACCTGGCACCCAGACCACCTCATTGAGCGGAAGTGGTCTGGGTGCCTATAGTGGTCCTTTAATGATAATCAGAGTTATAGTTTCTGGATCTTTTCCGTGTATAAGACTGTTTTTTTTCTAAATTTTATTAGTCTAAAATTGGGGTCGTCTTATACATGGAATTTTACTGCAGGGGTTAAAAAAAAAAGACTTGTGCGCGGGGCCTAAGCCAAGATGGTGCCTGCTGCGTTTCAGTGTGCCATGGCCCACACAGATGCCTGGCTTCCCTCCCACGATCCACTTCTGAATGGTGTGGCAAGGAGGACGAGGTCGCTATATGCCACACTATAAAAGGAGCAGCCATATTAAGGTTTGCTCCACCTCACGTAGGTCTTGCTTCCTGATTTATACTTATGGAGGAGAAAGTGGGGATCAGAGGGAATACTACTGTGATATCCCAGCACGCCCTCACACCGCCTGCTGTATTGTGGGAGCTGTAGTCTCCCAGCACGCCCTCACACCCCCTGCTGTATTGTGGGAGCTGTAGTCTCCCAGCACGCCCTCACCCCCCCTGCTGTATTGTGGGAGCTGTGGTCTCCCAGCACGCCCTCACACCCCCTGCTGTATTGTGGGAGCTGTGGTCTCCCAGCACGCCCTCACACCTCCTACTACATTGTGGGAGCTGTGGTCTCCCAGCACGCCCTCACACCCCCTGCTGCATTGTGGGAGCTGTAGTCTCCCAGCACGCCCTCACACCGCCTGCTGTATTGTGGGAGTTGCAGTCTCCGAGCACGCCCTCACACCGCCTGCTGTATTGTGGGAGCTGTAGTCTCCCAGCATGCCCTCACACCGCCTACTGTATTGTGGGAGTTGCAGTCTCCCAGCACGCCCTCACACCGCCTGCTGTATTGTGGGAGCTGTAGTCTCCCAGCACGCCCTCACACCGCCTGCTGTATTGTGGGAGCTGCGGTCTCCCAGCACGCCCTCACACCGCCTGCTGTATTGTGGGAGCTGTAGTCTCCCAGGACGCCCTCACACCGCCTGCTGTATTGTGGGAGCTGTAGTCTCCCAGCACGCCCTCACACCGCCTGCTGTATTGTGGGAGTTGCAGTCTCCCAGCACGCCCTCACACCGCCTGCTGTATTGTGGGAGCTGTAGTCTCCTAGCACGCACTATAGAGCCATTGATGTCACAGAGTACCATAACACAGGCATGAGAATCAGAAGTGTGTTGTTATCCTCAGAAGTCACCTCTAAAATATCAAAGTTGTTCTAGTTGATGCTTAAAATATTTATTTCTTCATTTTGGACTCAAAAAATAGGGGTCGTCTTATATATTGGGGCGTCTTATATGCGGAAAAATACCGTCATTCACAGATTGGGAAAGCAGCCATGATGTCACTAACTGCTATATTATAATATTATTATTATATTATTATTATATTTATTAATATTACATTATTATTATTTATTGTCCAAAGGAAGCACAGATTGGAAAGCAGCCATATCACTGATTTCCTTTAATCCCCCTGATATTATTATTATATTATTATTATATTATTATTTTTATATTATATTATTATTATATTATTATTATTATATTTATTAGTATTATATTAGTATTATATTATTATATTATTATTATTATATTATTATTATTATATTATTATTATTGTATTTTATTGTCCATAGAAAGAGCTGATTGGAAAGCAGTTATGTCATATTTTTATTATTTTTATTATTATTACTATTATTATAACATTCGTGACGTCACAGGCCGTCCCCAGCTCCTGTCAGGGAGCACAGAGGGAGCCGCCATTGTTCCTGTGAGAAATGCCGAGAAAATTCCGCTCCGCACCATATATGGTCACAGCGTTTCCGGCCAGGGATGACGTTGGGCTCGTGACGACCGCGTCCTCCTTGTCAATCAGCCCTCCAGACCCGCCCCTTTCTGATGACGTTCCCGGACGCAGCCCCGCCAGCCCCAACCTTGTTAAGCCGTTGCTGGCCGCGGCCCCGCCCCCTGAGAGGACGTGCAGTGACGCAGCGACGCAGCCCCGCCCTCCCCTCCCCGCCCCTGTTATAGTTGGCTGCAGCGCGCAGCTCGGGGCTCAGTTGACTCCGGACTCGCAGCCAGCGTCACTCAATGTCTCTGAATAGCACGTCCGCCGGGGTGATGAACCTGTACTGCGCCGGCAGCGCCTTCACCCCGTCATGGAAGAACTCCTCGGCCGCCCGCCTCGGCCTGCCCCGGCACCTGGAGCAGCGGGCGGACTGGGCGGCCGGGGAGGCCCCGCTCATGCTGTCCTCCCAGGGGGAGCTGGAGGAGGACGAGGCGGAGATGGAGAGCGATTCCCGGGGCTCCACCTCCCCCCCGGAGACCCCCACCAAGGACGACCTGTACCGCGAGACCCGCCAGCTGCTGCTCCAGCACTTCACCGAGTACTCGGGCGGGGACACCGCCAAGGCCGCCCTGCTGCTCCTCCCCGGGCCGGCCCGCCTGCGGCCCGCCATGGACACCCTGCGCCGGGTATCGGGGGACCTCATCGACAAACACAGGATGGCCTTCCAGGGTGAGAGTCTGCGCTACTGCCACGGCGGCGATACTATGGATCTTACTGCCTGGGATAATGGCTGCCTGCAGCAAGATGGCCGAACCTCCTCCTGTATAGCATGGCTGCTTCCTCCTATATAGCATGGCTTACAGTATATAGCATGGCTGCTTCCTCCTCTATATAATATATAGCATGGCTGCTTCCTCCTCTATATAATATATAGCATGGCTGCTTCCTCCTCCTATATAATATATAGCATGGCTGCTTCCTCCTCCTATATAATATATAGCATGGCTGCTTCCTCCTCCTATATAATATATAGCATGGCTGCTTCCTCCTCCTATATAATATATAGCATGGCTGCTTCCTCCTCCTGTGTAATATATAGCATGGCTGCTTCCTCCTCCTGTGTAATATATAGCATGGCTGCTTCCTCCTCCTATATAATATATAGCATGGCTGCTTCCTCTATATAATATATAGCATGGCTGCCTCCTCCTATATAGCATGGCTTACAGTATATAGCATGGCTGCTTCCTCTATATAATATATAGCATGGCTTACAGTATATAGCATGGCTGCTTCCTCTAAATAATATATAGCATGGCTGCCTCCTCCTATATAGCATGGCTTACAGTATATAGCATGGCTGCTTCCTCTATATAATATATAGCATGGCTTACAGTATATAGCATGGCTGCTTCCTCTATATAATATATAGCATGGCTTACAGTATATAGCATGGCTGCTTCCTCTATATAATATATAGCATGGCTGCCTCCTCCTATATAGCATGGCTTACAGTATATAGCATGGCTGCTTCCTCCTATATAATATATAGCATGGCTGCCTCCTCCTATATAGCATGGCTTACAGTATATAGCATGGCTGCTTCCTCTATATAATATATAGCATGGCTGCTTCCTCTATATAATATATAGCATGGCTGCTTCCTCTATATAATATATAGCATGGCTGCTTCCTCTATATAATATATAGCATGGCTGCTTCCTCTATATAATATATAGCATGGCTGCTTCCTCTGCCAATATAGCATGAAAACAACTCCTCTATATAATATATACTTTGTAGTTTACTTGCGCCTCCTCCTGTATAATATATAGCATGGTTGCCTCCTCCTGTATAATATATATAGCAGGGTTGCAGCCTCCTCCTGTATATTATATATAGCATGGCTGCTTCCTCTATATAATATATATACATGGCTGGGTATATAGCATGGCTGCTTCACTCTATATAATATATAGCATGGTTGCAGCCTCCTCCTGTATATAATATAGCATGGTTGCCGCCTCCTCCTGTATAATATATAGCATGGTTGCCGCCTCCTCCTGTGTAATATATAGCATGGCTGCCGCCGCCTCCTGTGTAATATATAGCATGGCTGCCGCCGCCTCCTGTGTAATATATAGCATGGCTGCCGCCGCCTCCTGTGTAATATATAGCATGGCTGCCGCCGCCGCCTCCTGTATAATATATAGCATGGCTGCCGCCTCCTCTATAGCATGGCTGCTGTCTAATGACTTCCTGTATACAGCATGGCTGCTAATGGCTTCCTGTATAATATATAGCATGGCGGCCGCCGCCTCCTGTATAATATATAGCATGGCGGCCGCCGCCTCCTGTATAATATATAGCATGGCGGCCGCCTCCTCTATAGCATGGCTGCTGTCTAATGGCTTCCTGTATACAGCATGGCTGCTAATGGCTTCCTGTATACAGCATGGTTGCTGTGTACCATATATAGGGCCTATTTAATATAGCTAGGCAGCGGTATGCCTAGATTTTTTTTTTCAATGGATATATATTGCACGGCTGTTATGTGCAATCTAAAAGGCCTGTGTGATTATCTATATACAGTCTGAAAAACTGCTGTATACCACATATAGGCCATGTGACAGTGGCTATCTGCAATTTAGCAAGACAGCTGCACCTCTTATGTACGGTATATCTTTGGACTGTTGATTAAAGCTCTGTAACACCTTATTGTTCTGGAGCTCTAACAATGGGTATCTTATATCTTGTGCGAACCATCTGCAGAGCCTGGCAGTAGTACTGTAAACCACGTCACTGCCAGTGAGTCCATGTGACAGTTCCTCTGTAAACCTATGTCAATGGTGGCTCCCTGGAACCCTGTCCCTCATTACAGCCTGCCTTGTATTGCAAGATCCCAGCCCCCTGTATGCTGACTTGATCAGTTACCTATACACTTTAACCAGGAATGAGCAATGTCTATTCGTTCACACTGTATACGAGATCGGCTGGGACATTCAGTATACACACTTGTGTATATTGATTAGTCTTGTTCTAGCTGCCTGTTTTTGGTCGGAGAAGCAACACTTTAATATAGCCTTAAGAAAATGTGATCTGCTTAAACTGTTGGCCTATCCTATATATTTCACAATACCCCTACGTTGCAGTCTGTTGCCCACCTTTTGGTCTGTTTGTGCTATTTTGCCTGTATTAGCTGGCACTGTCTTACAGTACATATGGCTTAATTGCTGCTTCTATTATCTGACTGAACTGGTTTTAATGGCATTCAGCTGAATTACTGGGTGCAGAAGCGTGTTGTGTTCATAGAATCTTTCTTTTGGCACGATGTATGATTTGAAAGAAAAACCTTCACATTTCTTTTATCCTGTACGATTTGTAAGTCCTGAAGGATTGTGCTTAAAATCTGCCCTGCATTTTCTGTTCAATCCGATCTCTGGCTTTTACTGGATATGTACACTAGTGTGCTTGTAGGAGGTTAAAGGTAGTTGTCTATAATTTGGCATCTAATACTTTAGTCCATAAAGTGTGTGTACTGATCAGCTTTTTGAAAGCTAACTTGTAAGTTGTGCTGTAGAAGGCAATGTTATCATTTCTATATACCTTTTTGTATATTTCTGTTGGAGCTTGTTTGGTTTCTTTTCCCTGCTCTGCCGTATGTTATGCATTACGAATTGCTGTTTTTGTTTGTTCCCTTCCTCATACAATTGCTTTTTGGACCTTGTTCAGAAAGTACTTCTGCATTCCCTGTATGAGCAGTCAGCTGTATTAAGTTCCTTATTTATCTACGGTGACTAATAGGCTTTCTGTGGAAATGGGTCTCTGCTACTTACACCACAGTAACCAGTTCCCAGGTCGCTTACCCGTCAGAATGCAGTGTATGTATTAAGACTCCTATTTGCAGTCAAGCTGCGAAAAGCACATTTTGTGTTCTCCTTTGTTATATGCTGAGCTAGGGGTTGCACTTTCAGCAAACTGAACACCCATCTGTGTGGCTTTTTTCTATTAAAAAAAAAAAAAGAGCGAGAACTCCCAGCTTGGTCTGTTATATATTAAAAACCATTATGGAGTGGAATTCCGTTTCTGGAAGATTCTGAAATGCATGTTGCATAGCAAAATCTGCAATAGTAAAGTGTTGGCGAGTTTTTGTATAGAAAGTTAGAATTTGAAATGTCTGTTTCCTTGCTGGTCTAATTCTCTGACTTCTGAAGGACAGTTGCAAAGTCCTTAACGTTGTGGTATTGATATGACTGAATTTTTAGCCTTACATGTTTATCTGTCTAGTAAACTCTCTTAAAGGGACACTGTAGTCGCTATAACGACTTTGTCTCTTTGAATTGGTTATAGTGCCTGGAGTGGCCTGGCACTGTCCCTCCATTCAGAGTTGCACCATGTTCGTGTAGTATGCCACAAAATAAGTCCCTGGCCACCCACAGTCCGGCCCCTTCTGTATGTGTAGCTAAGGCAGAGATTACACACTTCCTTGTTGTCCTACCCATTCATACAGTCAGTTGGAGCTCTGACAGGTTAAAAGCAGTCAGCTGACACTCTCAGCCAATCACAGCTGCACATTGCCTCTCAGGGTACTACTTCCTTATTAGCCAAAGCAGCACAGAGGGGATGGACTGCCAGGGTCTCTTGTTTAGCATTAAAACATTACAACATTAAAAACTGTTTAATGCTGAAAGAAATGATGGTACCAGGGGACTCCAGACACTATAACCAGTTTAATGAGATGAAGCAGATACAGTGCCTACGGTGTCCCTTTAATGAGAACATTGTAATCTGTAACAATCTATTAAATGTAATCTTTAATTGCCTCACAAGTTGTATTGGGATTATTTGGTCTATTACAATTGATACTGAAGTTTTCAATGTTTCTTTCCCCCAGGGATGCTCACAAAGCTATCCATACAGAAGCGAGAAGACCTACAGAAACTATCCGAAGTCCCCTCCTTGGTTTTCAGTGATGGAATTACAAATTGGGGCAGGATTGTTACATTAATAAGCTTTGGTGCTTTTCTTGCAAAGTATTTGAGGAGCATACACCTTGAAGACTGCATTGTTTCATTAGCAGACAGTTTTACGGAGTTCCTTATGGACAGCAAAAGAGAGTGGATAACAGAACAGAAAGGCTGGGTATGTATAGGTTTTTGTGTTTTTGTTTTTGTTTTTTTTCCCTTTCTCCATGTCTTCCTGACATTCAAGCATTGTATTGTATGTGGGTTTCCCTCCCCTAGAATCTAGAGTACAGCCCATGTGAACAAAGACAGTCACTGTTCTTGATGTGAATTCAGTCCATTCCTAGCTGTAATAATAGCTACATGGTCTAAAATAAAGACTAAAGTCACATTAAATAACTGACAATTTGGGATCCAAGTGTTTGGAGAACATTGACGTTATCAACACTTTTACCCTACTCCTACAGTACCCTCCTTCGTCAAACTCATTTAGATGACTGAGTAGGATACCTCTAAAGTTGGCAAACTTCAGTGATCTAAACTTTTTTTTTATTCCCTTTTTTTTTTTTTTTTCAGGATGGTTTTGTTGAATTTTTCCACATAGAGGACTACGAAAGTGGACTCCGAAATGTTTTAATGGCGTTTGCTGGTGTTGCAGGAATTGGTGCAAGTATTGCCTACATGATCCGGTGAACTATGGTGATCATCCTCTAAGTTTGTTTTAAAGAAAAAGGATAACTTTTATGGATGTTACCAATGCTATCAATGAATGACTCCATCAGGCGTTGAGCGCCAGGCTTGGGCAGTCGCTTGGGCTGGACGATTGTATGGTATCACTGCTTATAACACCATTTAGTACTGCAGTATGGTCATCAGAGTTGAAAGGTAAACAGGGAGCGGTCTCCCACAAGAAACAATATCTCGAAGTACCTCCCAGTTTTTTTTTGTTTTGTGTCAAAAACGGACTTGAGTTTAGTTTCAGAAGATCATGGCACCAAAATAGCTGATCATTCTTATTTACAGCACTTTTGCAGGGCTGCTTTGCCAACCTTGAAAGACTAATTTCCAAGTTATTCTGGTCAATGGGAATGTCTTATCCAACTTCAGTTACCTTTCAGTACAAAAATCAATTCTGTAAATTGTGTACATACTCTGTCCTGCTTTGCCAATGGAAATATAAATCGCATTCTAGATTTCAAACAAAGAATTCACTGTGAAATTGTATAAAAGCTTCATTCCTTGGCCGCCGCCTTCTGACCTTGCATGCTGACCACTTTTTTTTTTTTTTTTCTTGATACCCGGGGGACATCTAAACACATTGATCAGATCCTTGGGTTTTTTGTATGGTATTGGGGAAATTTCAATTATTTTTTTTATATATATTTTAGCCTGTCACTGAAACACTATATATAATTTTCTTTAAGAGGAATTGTTTATTTTCATTAAAAATGATTCTTAATATTTCCTCCGTAAGTACCATTGAAACCACCCTACCTTTATGTATGTGGAGTAATAGCTGCCCCTTATCAGATTACTCTTTACATGTACGCCCTTGAATGTTGTATAAAGTTTGAGAGGTACTTGAGTTTATTTCTGAATGTTCCTCTGGCACTGAAAGCTATATCTAGGCACAAGCTCCAATGATCCAGTTAAGAGGCACTCTCAAACAAGACGGCCTTTCTCCATAGCACTGCCATTCTATATACTTGGAATATCTGCTTCAGATGCAAACCGCACAGAATGTAGGGGTCAGAACAGGCTCGTCTAAACATCCAAACTATCCGATCCTCTATTGTTCAGGGTGCTAAGTTTAAAAAAATTGTACTTTTTGAATAAAACAAGAACTATTTTGTTTAAATTGTGTTCTGTCTGGGTTTTCTTTTTACAGATTAATTACTTGTGGTTTTAATTTAATTACACTCCTGTACATTCAGGTTAGCAGTGCTGTGGGTAGTCAGGACTTGCTCTTCTAAAACGTGTTTACTTTTCCATAAACATGCAGGTTACATGTCATTCTGCAGTACATGACATCTAATCCTTACACTGTACACATTTAGATTAGATCTAACCTAAAACTATGTTACTGGGGCATTGTTGAACAGCGAACTGCCACGTTTATCGGCAATGGATGGGAACTGTACACTAAAAAATCAGTTGAATTTTATGCTTCTAATTGCTTTTCTGTCACTGGTAATGTCTTGCCAGATCTAGTCTTGGTAGTTCTTTTCGCTTCTGCTTCGAAGTGTACTTTTGAGGGGAAGTTCACACACTTAGAAACAAGTTATATAAAGGATTATTTGCCAGTCAAAAGAAGCAATTAGATCATGGAATCCATGAAGGCAACGACTCAAAATTAAATTTTTAATTGTTTAAAATAAAGGCATTAAATTTAGCCTCTGGAATACACAATCCCAATAATTGCTTCAATTTCCTCAGGCATCTAAAATATTTCCGATAACTATCTGTGTACATAATAGGCAGTGCAGACACCCCTAGTATATGAACATAGTTCAGCATTTTCCGCCTCACCCATTGCGAACAGGTGTACACAAAGTAAGCTTATGAAATCTCTGCCATACTAGATATGACCTAGTCCATTTGTAAATGGAAACATTCAAAAGCAGTAGCCTATCCATAAAGTGGTGCATGCATACTCGGCGGAGTTTCAATATGTATAAAAATAGAACATCTGCGTCACTCACCAGTGTTCGGGTGCCCGGATAACGTTGCATGAATTTAAATGGTCTACAGTAAAGTTTGGTGAAGGCACCTTTTTATTTTAAGTATAATCTTCCACAGGGTGGAAAATGAAATGCTTCTTTGTGGCAACACTTCGAGGAAGGTACTTTCCTGTTTCAAAATGACTGCATAAAGCAATGTCCATGAAAATGCTTATGGAGGGGAACACAAGGGGCCTGCACAGATCCCTGGATTTGGTCCCATTGAACACCTTCAGGGTGATTAGGATCAGATATAGCATGCCAGAACATTTTGTTCAACAAAAGGCCTGACCACTCAAAATGATTTCTTGGCTGAATACGCACACCTTCCAACAGAAAAATCGTAAGTCTTGTGGAAAGCCTTCAAGGAAGAGTGGCAACTGTTATCACCACAAATGGATGGCACAACTCAATGCATATGGATTTCAGATGGATGGCACAACTCAATGCATATGGATTTCAAATGGATGGCACAACTCAATGCATATGGATTTCAAATGGATGGCACAACTCAATGCATATGGATTTCAAATGGGATGTACTACAACCACACCAAAATAGTGGGTGTTGCTAATCTATACTGGCCTTGATATGGACAACGTGGCAATCTGCAAGGATAAAAAGATTGAATAGTGCAGGCAATTAATAAAAAATGCACAGTGCTAGAATGGATCGTATGCACTCACAAAACTAGAGCCAAAGAAGCACTTGGCTCTAGTGTATGGTACAGTTTGATTCTTTGGGAGATGCAAAACAATCTGCTATGGTGTGACTGATGTGGAATGGAAACTGGGCTGGAAGCAAAAAGGCAATCTATATAGTGTAACACTGTATCGAACGGTAAACGAGCAGCAGTATCACCATAAATGAAGAGTAGTCTGTTCTCACTGGATACTTGGATGTTCAAAATTTACTCTGTAAAATGAAACCAAACCAAAAAAATACAGATAAGAAGTGCGTCTCCCATGGGTATGAATTACTCTGGTAGCAGAATCCAATGTCCAAAACGTGTCTTCAAATGTCTTAGGTGGTGGATTGTACAGCTCCTTCTCTGTAGCATCTTGTATATGTAAATTTTTTTATTTTTTTTGGGAGATCACCGTTTTGTGGAAAGCAGATTGAGCTCTTCGCGGTGGGAGACAATTACTTCCTGACAGTGACATTTCCTCTTTGGCTTCCCGTGGATGATCAACAAGCTAATGTAGCTGTGATGGCCTGGGTGTGATCTAAATTGTTTCATGTGTTTTTGACGCCACACTTAATTCCGAAGCGGTGGCTAATCGAATCCATAGTGACACACTCCAATGGACTAAGGAACTGGAAAGACTAGTTCTGCTCAAATTAATGTAAAGACAAAATGAACTGCATGATATGGAAAATTGTACTGTAGCACTTGTCAGAACACGGCAGGAATGCCAGTAAAGGTGCAATGGATGGAGCAGAGTGTCGTACGGAATAGGACATGCTGTCAGACTGTGTCGTTGATGGCAGGTGACACACTATCCAGGATCTTTGGCTGTCCCATAAAATGCGACCAGTCGGTGTACTCTATAAATTGTAGCGGAAGCTGCATAATAGAATGGAATATATTTAACCAGTATTATCTTGTAGGCCATGTTTGACAGGGGTAGACAAATTTTTTTATTTTATTGGATATGGATATATTTGAGATATTAAGCCAGCCTTCCAGTGTTTTTCTTTTGTAAAATTTTTTTTTATTTTATTGGTATCTCAAAAAATTACATCAAAGCTGACATTTCAGTTTTGTATAAGAACTTTCTTCAGGACATGTTGCAATCATTCAAACCAATGATATGTATAAGAACATAGATTGGTCACTTACCATGCACATGCCAAAAGCTGGGTCCCCACCTTTACGATACTTTTAAGAATTAAGGCTATGACCGGGTGTCAAATTCTTCCAATTAGCTATGTGCGTGTTCCCATAGATACAGGAATGCGTCTCCAAGCAGCTGTTAGATTTCCTGATGTCTAATGTAGACGCTGTAGTTGTAATGCGCATAATTACTATGGTAACAAGACCTTAGTGGTTATTAACCTTAGTGCAATTTATTGTAATGGCATTCTAGTATGTATGGGAACGAACGGTCAGTCTCTTGTCTTAAGACTATTGTGAATGTGGACCAAGCTTTTTGGCACATGCGTCTTTGCTACCAGAATATGCCGGCAAGCACCCAGGTGTATGTTAAGTGACCAACCTTTGATCGATTTATAACATGTCCTGAGGAAAGTTCTTATACAGAACAAAAAAGTTGGCTTTTTTTTTTTTTTTTACATTTATTTTTTGTTGTGCATTGCAAAATCACAATCTGACAAAGCCTGTATACATATCATGTAACAAGCAACATTATACAGTAGCGTTCTCAGGACTGGCTTGGCTTAGATGCACATTTTTACAATATTGTTGGAACATAAAACCAGATACATTGGCATCAAAAGTAACGGCTTTGATTATAGGTAATATCATGTTTATACCAGAACCATCTCGTATACTCTGCAAGCTAGTGCAAGGCCAGCAATATCTGTGAGCCTCTGCCGCTTACCAGGTATATTCTATATATTTGTTGTGCAATACATTAATGCAAGTCGATAAGACCAAGACTCCTATTTTATAACATAACGCTGTACAGTAAACTTTTCGTGCCTGGCCTTATATGCATATAGATTTTTAAGTAATGTTTCCAAACAGAACCTCAGGTACTTAGTTAGCGATAGTAGTAATGTCGGTATAAGCTGACACGTGTGTACATTACAAATTGTGCTTTCTGTTGGGAAAAAAATAAAGATCCCTGTAGCCGTAGTTCACTTGCTACTTGCCCTGTGAAGGCCAGGGCTGTGATATACTAAAAAAAAAGAAAGGGAAAAAAAAGGATGTCAACTTATTATTTTTAAGATTTTGACAAAGAAAGCCCTGGAGTGCTGGCTTGATATGGGCATTTATTCATCAGTGTGGCAGAGGAGCGGGTAATATATGAACATTTCATTGTAAAGTTGGAGTGCAGGGCTATTGAGACTTCTAAGCCACCTCTCTGTTCTCCTTCCCAGGTAAGGGATCTGACCATTTTTCAGGACTAGAACCTATATCTAATCTCTGTCTATACAGGCTAGTAGGGATGTTCTAATGTCAATCCATACATGCCCCATCAGCCGCTGGTTATTGCTTTAGCACTCCTTAAACACAGCACCAATTAATCTCCCTGTGCCTTCCCACTCAGCTCTTCGCCACCTGCAAGGCACCCTTGCGCACTACACCCCAAGCTCTTATTATTTTACAATCTCTTTAAATTATCCTATGTCCACCCATGCACCATTCGCTACCTAGAAAGTATCTCACTAAACTCGTGCATCACTGCATTTATCAAACTCTAACTCAGCTCATCAGGTTTTACACAGGGCCCAAATCCCACACTTTGTCACTTATTCCAGATTGTATATGCATGACTTATGTCTATCTAGATTTATATGGGGGAGGGATTGGGACGACGACGACCATGCTGACTACTTCTTTATCAACGGCTACACATTCACTTTCTAATACAGAAATATGCTACCCAGTCACAAAGTGGCGTAAAAAAAAAAGAGCCTCTGTGACAAGCAGCTTTGTAGGTTGATCAGATAACTTTAACATAAAAATAAAAAAAGCATTGTGATTGTATATTCTGATCCTCGTACCCAGTTACTGTGTGCACACATTCTAAACGAGTGTGTGTGTGTGTATGTATGTATGTATATATATATATATATAATTTAGTACATTGCTAAACACAAAGACACAGACCACTCCAGCTATATGACGTGCTTTCACTACTGCAAGGGATTCTGGGTAGGTGTATGCAAATGAGCTCAACCAAAAAACACATTTTTGCCTCATAATTCCGCTTGATACATGTATGCAGCGCAGACATACCCCAAGGAATCCAACAGCTTTGAAACACAACTTAGGAAGACGAGCAAAGCCAGTGAACCAGTCATGGACAGCCATTTCATTGTTAATGCAACTCATCAGCATGAGGTTGGTTACTGACCTCCTATGGAGGCTTGACGTTACTTGTGAAATACATGAGAGCCAGGTTGCAAGCCAGTAAACCACTGATAAGTGGAATTATGAGGCAAAAAAGTGGTACTTTGTTGAGCTCATTTGCATACACCTACCCAGAATCCCT